CATGCAACGTGACTGGGTGGCTCTGGGAAGGACTGCAGTGCACACTGCAGGGTGAAGGTATAGAACAACCTTAAAACAACCAATCTTTAGAAATGGTGACTTTCAGACTATGCTCGAAGACCATTTCTTGGCTGTCTCTACCACAAATCTGCAGCGAAACAATGCAAAAGCCACAGAAAGCTAAACTGGGAGGTGCTCATAGAATACAGCTTTCTTTGTCTAACAGCTCTGTCGCAGCCACTGTTCACTTAAAAAGTATCTACCTGATACAAGTCATTTTCCATCTCTGACTCACCTATTTTTGGTGGTGCGATGAAAACCTCTTTGTAGGTATTTTGCAAGATTTTACGCTAAGGATGGATAGCCAACCCACAGAATCCTCATAATGGATGTTGCAAAGGGCCAATACATCAAAATTGCTGACACATTCAGCTCTGGTTTGTCACCTCTAGAAAGAAATTGTAAACCAAGCACAGACAGTGCCCAAAAGAAAACTTTGTAATACAAATATGAGTAAAGGCTGGGAACATGGTTAGGAATGCTCTCCCAATATTAATTGGAGTGTTTACTATCTCTAAGACAGAGCCTTCCTTGAAGATGGGCAACATCAGAACAGATAGTTATTTTGGGAACTTTTTTTTTTTTAATTTTTAAAGTAGTAATAAAATAACTACACCCATTCATCACACACCAACTATCTCATTATCTGACATTTCACACTTACAACAATAGTAAAAAATCTATCTGACTATTTTGCACAGTAACAACATACATCTGGCAGTAACAAATGCTGAGGTGCGAGGTGAGAGTAATACTGGTTGTGATGGTTAAGGTTATGTGTTAACTTGGCCAGGCTATGATTGTCAGTGGTTTGGCAGTTATGTAATGATGTAATTGGGCAATTATGTAATGATGTAGTCATCCTCCATTTTGTGATGTGATGTAGTCATCCTTTGTTTTCACATTATGCCGATTTTTGCATTACAATCTGGTTTTTAGAATCTAAGCATGTTGATAGTGAGGAGTGGGTGTGTAGGTTATCTAAAATGTTTACTGTGTTTTTAAGGCAATTAAAGACCTGAATGTAATGAAGAACAGGGGACTTTTTTCAGATCAAATTGTCTTAACATCCCCACCTTTGGATCATTTAAAGATTAGGAGGTTTTATTATGCAAATTAGACTGAGAGCTAATTACTGAAATAGGTCACTCGAAAAAGTCAATTCTAAACAATACGAAAACCCATATACATCATTTTGCCACATGTCAAAGCAAATCATCATCTATGAGGAGAATTAATGAGGATGCGTATCATTCTGCCATATCATTTCCTAAGGGAATTTAATGGATACTCGGTAGGTTTAAAATTAAAGTTTCAATTAAAAATTAGTTTTTACTTCTACAACTTAAAAATGTGATGACTATATTTAAATCTTGTAACACTATAAATCAAATTATATGTCTTCAAGGAATTTACAGCAGATTGTGTCCATTTCAACTGGAGAAAAATGACAATAATTAGAGACTCTATATTGGATTTGTATGTTTCCAATCACAAAATGACTTCAAACTGGAGAAAACCTCAATCATTAGCCAGAAACACAACAACAACAAAAGCACTTTCTAGAGAAGGAAATTAAAGTTCAAAGAAATAAAGCGACTTTCTCATTAAGCTCAGGCAGCAGGATTAGAACCCAGATTTCTGGACTTCCTGCATAGTGCTTCTCAAACATTGTTTACTGAGGGAATCATCTAACACCATTCAGTAAGATGGCAATTGGACCATTCCCTACAGGGCAATCAACCACTGTTCCAAACTATTATTTCTCTTAATCCTTCCCATGAAAAGCAACCAGTATGTAATAATGATGTAGTTTATAATGATACTCTTGGATGTGAAGGTACTTACCAACTAGATACTAAGTTTTGGAGTCAAACACGCATAGTATATATTGTAGTAACTTAAATATTAATATCTACTATCTCAAAGTGAGTCAATGATTTGAAGTGTTAAAAATATACTTCTAAATTTGTGCATTTTCCCTCATGCTAGCTAATACAGCACTATTTTATGAATCTACCAATATCAAAACGACTACCGTCAAATACTTTCTTTCTTCTCAAACAAGAGAGCACAGAGTGTGACTCGTGTGTGTATGTGGTGGGGGATGGCGTGAGTGTGTATCTGTGTGATCATCTGATGTGGAAAGCAGTGACTGCTAAAAATCTATTAATTGTTTTAGTGCCCTGGCATTCTTAAAGCAGCAGTGGAAAAGTCAACATTAATTTTTTAAGCGATGTTAAAAGTTGTTCTTCTCATCTCCCATTTCCTTTCGAGGGAAATCTTTATGTCGATGAGCTTTGCTGTAGGGTAGGTGAAAAACTGGCTTCTAAAATTTCTCAGGTATCTGAAATGCCTCCCTATTTCTGTAAGGTAATGGGGAAATCTTTAAAACCCTCTGTTCAAAGTCTCAGTGGACTTCTCGGCAAAGTTCTGAGGCCTGGGCCCTTTACCCAGCCGTGTGACAGTCACTCAGCCAGCAATGTTCAAACAGCCCCTCATTGTTTCAAACTTGAAATCCTGAATTCTACTGTAAGAAGGATTCTTTTATCCCAGGCTATTACACGCTTCTGCACTGTAAATTGTAACTTTAAGGAGAGTTCTGGAGGCCAGAGTAGCTCAGTTACCTGCTAATGAATCTGTTAATGGGGTACAATGAATTTTTTTTTAAAATAGAAAAATATGTCATTACTGTGCAGATTAATACCAAAATTATAAATTAAATGGTGCTTCTAAATATAAATTCGTCATGTATAGGTAAAAAGTGGTATTAAATACTATATTAAACAAAAAGTTGTTGGTAAACCATTTACTTATCAGCATTCTTTGCATATTATTTCAGACTGAAGGCTAAACCCATAATCTTTCCTGAAATTCCACTGGCACCCAGTGGAACTTAGAATACGCAACATCATCTTTATTAAGCCATAACTAAAGTAAGAGACAAGAATCTGCTTAGTCTATTGACCTACCACCACGGAAGGGCCAACTGGTGGATACAGGCTGCAGCCATGGCTTTAGCAGCATAAACTGAACATCACAGACACATCTGATACTGTATATTAAGTCTACTCTTCAGGCACCCCCACCTTCCTTCTCCCACTCCACCGGGGGATGGGGGGTGGGGCATTAACCTTAATGAATTCATCTGAGGTCAGTTTCTATTTCCTACAAATGTTATATTGAACATTAGAGTCCCAAGTAAACAGTCTTATGTAAAAAGTCCTTAAAAAAAAAAAAAACTAAGTTATGCTTAGAAAATCTTAAGGTTTCTATTTTACCTAGCAACTATTTTATATTTCCAAAGATTTCGCTATTATTTTGGATACTTTACACTTCACCATTCACTCCTTCTGCTTGTTTCATCTCCCAGAACATGTTTATTTTCACTTTTATGATAATTATTCCTTTAAATGTAACATTTACCATTTTCTCTTTTTCTTTGTTACTTGTTCTCAGTAGGTGGCTCTCTGAGTATCAGGTTGGCTTAGAAATAGGTTTTCAGTCCCTGTGACATTTCAGGTTTGCAGCAAAAGGCAACAAGATAATTCGATGGCTCTGACGATCTTTGTTTCAATTACAAATGCAGTTAAAAAAGTAACATATTACTGGGTGCTACATAAATACTCAGTGAATTACTGATTTTGTGCTCTGAACAGCAGGTTGTTGTTGTAAGGTGCCACCGAGATGGTTCTGACTCACAGCAACCCTACATACAACAGAATGAAACACTGCCCTGTCCTGCGCCATCCTCACGATCGTTGTTATGCTTGAGCCCATTGTTGCAGCCACTGTGTCAATCCATCTCATTGAGGCTCTTCCTCTTTTTTGCTGACCCTCTACCTTACCCAGCATCATGTCCTTCTCCTGACAACATGTAGCTTAGTATGGTAAGAGGTTTCAATCTTATGACCAAGAGGTAGGGGGAGCCTAGCTAGTAGACAGCAGTTCCTTGTTCCCTAATGAACTGAAGTCTATGGTAACGAATGAAAAATTAAACCAAATTATGAGTATAATGTTAAACCAAAAAGATTTGTTTAAAAAAATATTTCATTGCTTGAATGATGTGAACAGCCGTCCCAGTCACCCAGACTTCACTCTGACAAAGCCCTGTGGTCCCAGGACCAATCCTGGCTTTCTGTCAACTCATACCCTGCCTGGTGCCAGCACAGGACTTGCACACAGCAGGCATGTGCGCTGGGTGTGTGCGTCACCTGACTTCTCAGCCTCAGGAGTTAATACTAGCTCAGATTACTTTGGGATATGACCTAAAGGATGCATATTACCTGCTTCTGAAACAATGTGTCCAATTATTAAATAGATGGGTGGGGACAGTAATTCATTGAGCAAACCCAAGTCTTGGCTTATTCTAAATCTGGTTTTAACGTGACCGTGACCATGTATAAATGCAGTCTGTCAGTAATCCCCATACTTTGAACCTTTGAGCTCCATCGTCTAGGGCTTGGCAACTTCATGAGGAAAGGGTACCACATACTACTTTGTTCACTGTTGCATCCCTAGCACTTAGGCACTGTCTGTGGCACAGAGCAAATACAAGATGAATGAGTGAATGGATGGTTGAATGGATGAATAGAAAAGTCATTGCACAAGATTTACCTTTCAAAACCTCACCAATGCTCCTTAAAAGTGGTTTTGTCACTAGAAATGCTGAGTATATTCCTATATATCCATTTATTTCAAATACTACAAAGACTCTAGCAGGATTTTCCCCCTTCGGATACTTATATGTAACCAATACTGTTAGCACAGGGTCACAAATTCAATTACGGTTTTCTTCGGAAAAAAAGGTGAACAATTGCCCAGCAAGGATTCCCACCCAATTATTTGCCACAATGATAATTTTAAGGAAAGAAAAATGGATACAAACCTATTTAGCTTATCCTAATTTCTATGAAGCAAATGAATAGCGTTATACTTACATATAATGTAATAATCTTTGTTCTTCTGAAATTCTAGACCCCAGAGATTAGGACTGAATTCTTGAAACTTGATAGTGAACTTCACGTCCTGGTCTGGTTTGGCACAGTTGAGGAGAGGGGTATTTTCCTTCTTAATGGTGCATCTATCTGCTTGGTCTTTGTCAACCATATAAACTTTATAGTATTCATATTGGCCAACAGTCTTAGAGTCCACTTTGGGGCAAATAATATCCATTTTGTCTCCTATTTGTGGATATAGTACCAGTCCTTGTCCAGGTAGAAATCTAAAAGCATAGGAAAAAAAAAAGCCATTCAGTTGATAAAAATGAACAGTATTAATGATGATTCCAACACAGCTAAATAACGTCAATAATCCCAAGCTACAATTTTTCAGATCCACAATATTATTTACTAAAAGTATCTTCGTTCACATCAACATGGGATGAACGTATTTAGGAATTAAGCTTTAAAGAAAAAAGAAAGAAACCACTCTCTTGTACTCTAAGCAATAGCTGATCAGTTGACCTGCTGCCATTTCTTCACCACCCCCTCGCCTGTCATATTTCAGTAGCCCTTTGTGAAACTCTACAGTAACTTTTCCTCTGCGGTGAGTCAGACCTTCCCACCCGTTTGTTATTTTGTAACTATTGGCAGCTCAGCTTCTTGGGCATGCCACACAGAGACTTCATCAATTTGAGGGAACAGTGGATGCAGTAATACTTTGTCGTCTTGTTATTTTCCATTTGCTGTTGATGTTAATTAACAGACAAGTTTCATCAAGAATGTTTCAAATTACTTATCATTAATTAGTCAGTCACTGATCAAACAATGGGTTTTTTATTACACCAAACAAAAGAAATGTCTTACAAACCCATAAAAGACAACCAGAAATAATTAGTTGTAGTATCGATTCAGCTGTGAAGTTGAGAGTCCTCCACCTGCAGGGGCAATCGCTTCAATCCTTGCTCTACAAACCTTTCCTTCCCCCTTGGGATGTATTTGCTCCAATTAATTCGTAGAAGCAAATCTTTAGAACGAAGACCACTGATCCAATATCCCCCTAATGCTTACAACTAAAAGCTTCGCCCCCACCCCCGACCCCTTTTTCCCTTTCTTGCTAGCCAGGCTACTGAAAGATCTTTCTTAATGGGGAGTTTCTCTGGGAAAGTGAAAGAAGAGCTACCTAATGAACATCCCTCTACAGTGAACACTAACAACACAGTCAGAAACCCGGCTCCTCCGTCAGCAGCCAAGCCTGCAGGCTTATTAAAATAAGAAAGCCAGAGAAGGCAGCGCTGCACTGGAATCCCTCCTATCCAACTACTCAACCAGAGAAGCCCACTGGCCATGCTCAATAACCAAAAACCAAACCCGGAGCCCTCGAGTTGATTCCCACTCAAAGCGACCCTACAGGGCAGAGTAGAACTGCCCCAGAGTTTCCAAGCAGCGCCTGGTGGATTCGAACGCCCAACTTTTGGTTAGCAGGTGAACTCTTTACCACTATGCCATCAGTTTCCCCATGATAAATTTAAAAAAAGCCAAACCCCTTGCTGTTGAGTTGATTCTGATTCATAGTGACCCTACAGGACAGAGTAAAACTGCCCCATAGTGTTTCCAAGGAGCACCTGGTGGATTTGAACTGCTGATCTTCTAGTTAGCAGCTGTAGTACTTAACCACTATACCACCAGCGTTTCCTTAATCTCTACCCGTTGCCGTTGAGTCGATTCTGACTCATAGCAACCCTACAGGACAGAATAGAACTGCCCCACAGAGTTTCCAAGGAGCGCCTGGTGGATCTGAACTGCCATCTCTTTGGTTAGCAGCTGTAGCACTTAACCACTCTGCCACCAGGGTTTCCCCATGATGAACACTGGGTCATAATTCACTAATAGAGATGAAGAAAGGATGATGGGACACCCCCAATTCCAATCCATACTGAGGGAATAGCTTGTGATTTACGCTAATGAATGGTATTAACTTTCTGAAAAGTACAATAAGTTGATCATAAAACAGCACAGAACATATGCTGTTCTATCTATCATAGATTCGTATTTTTAAAAGATACTCTGTATGGCAGGAAAAAGGCATGTTGCACACAGGGGCATGTCCTTCCCTCTTGGAAATGTGCTATTTTATCACCATAAACGGACGGCTCGAGTCCCCTTTTCTTCACTGAGATCTTTTAGCAAGGACACATTATATTCACCGCCCCCCCCCCAAAAAAAAAAATGAATGAGAAAATCTAACAAAATCTTTCTGTGAAGCAGAACTCAAAGTGAGATTTTTTTGTAACAATGATGAAGTTACAACAGCCATGTGTTGTGTGAACCCTTGAAGAATTCTCTAGAACTATGATAACCAGGTACTCAGTAACAGCCTCTCTGTGACCTTTTGTCCATTTCTACAGTTTTCTTGAGAGGTGCTTCTAAAATTCAACCCCAGTGAACTGACAGGCTTCCCTGGAGGACTGTGTTAGCCTCTGAATTCCAATGTGTCATCTCTGTGCACAGAACACACAGTACCCATCCACCCTGAGCTTCCTCCTTAACTCTAGTTTCTCAGGTGCCAAACTCAGTCAGAACTTTTTGTGGACGAGGCTTTTAAGTTCGTCTTTAAAAGCCTCAGTGACTGATGTGTAGCTGTGGTTGAGACCCGGCAGACGTATGGCAATCGGCACACACTAAGTACAGTGAGCATTCAATTGTTCACCTTTCCTGACGCATCCTTTTCCTCCTGTCTTATCCCCTGACCTTTTTAGGAAATCTTCCCTGCCTACAAGAACCAGAGGCCCATTCTTGCCTGGGGTTTCCCACCCCACTCGTCCTCCCAGCCATTTTCTATCTCTAAATCTGCCCCTTCAGTGGCTGGCACAGCATAAACACGGCATAAGTATTAGCTATTATTAGAAAGATTCCTAAATCATGACTGGAGTCTGTAGCTTGTACCTACCTCCTATCAAAGGACTGATCTTCGGTTAATTTTTACCATATGCCTGGGTGCTTGCCCAGGCAACTGACACCAGGATCCTCGGTAAGCCAGATGCACCCATTTTCTTGTCCAGTCATTCAATTCTTTTAAGGAAATTCATCATCCTCCCCCACCTCCCACACATGCTCCTTTACTCTGTCAATTCTCTGTGCATCTTAGAAATCTCCCACTTCACACCCGATGTTCTCAAGATTGGCTCACCAAGCTTTTCCTTCATCCAAAATGCTCCTGAGATCCTGTTTCCTTTATGAAGTTTTTTTTTTTTTTCCTGCTTAACTAAGGACTCACTGGAGATTCCTCCCCACCCATGTAAGGAACTCCTCAAGACTCTCTCCACTCACCAGATTTGAGTGACATCTTTTGCCAGCGCTGATGGGGTAAGGTCAAGACATACGACATGTGGGCCGCTTTGGCCTCAAAGACTTCCACGTTTTTGGAATGTATATCCAGAAGACACAAATCACAAAATTTCGTGAGTCTTTAACTCATTTTGCAAACAAAACAGACCTGGATGTCAAGTTTTTATTCAATGCATGCAATCTGAATTTGATCCACATTATTTGTTAAAACGTCTGTAAATGTCAGTGACGGGGGAGTGATGGGATGGGATGGCTTATCAAATGAAAGAGAAGGGAAGAATATCAAATAACAATAAACATAAAGTAAATCCCGACAAAACCCACTATTCCTAATGCTTCTAAATGTGTCTATTCACTTTTCAGAATTATACTGTGATAAGTAAGGCAAAAATGTGATCCTTTGACCAGAAAAAGTCATTGTTTAGACAATTTGTTACAAAATTATTGTTAAATTATCTAAATCAATGCAAAAGGAAAAGACCCACTATCTGAGTGCTTCAGAGATCGATGTTTTGTTTGTTTGTAAATATTTTAAGATGGGCAGCACACCAATTGGTGAGATAATGGTTTTCAGCAGACAAAGTGTAGGGATGAGCTGAGAGCTCACATCACAGGTCTCCTGGATACGGTACCACTGACAACAACAAAACCCAAACCCGTTGCCACTGAGTTGTTTCCGATTTGACGGCAACCCCATGTATTACAGAGCAGAACTGCTCCATAGGGTTTTCTTGGCTGTAATCTTTACAGAAGCAGATTGCCAGGCCTTTCTTCCACACTACGACTGCATACAGTCTTAGTGAATTACTCTGAAGTATAGCCACTGAAGCCCCTCTGCCTTCCGAGAGTCCTTACAGTTTCTAAGGCAACATGGAGGCAAATTAGAGTAATAACAATACAACAGCCACAGCAACCTATTTTGTGCCAGACACTCTGAGTGACAGGAAAGTACACAGCCACCACTGCTGATGATGAGGAATTTACAGTCTAGTTCCTCAAGGGCAGGGCGGTACCATGTCTATCTGATTCAATCCTGAATGCCCAGGTGGCCAACATATAGTAGATGCTCAATAAATACTGTATTAGTTGGAAAAAAATACGAACGAATACATGGAAGCTAAGATACGCACAAACAAATGTAAGTCGGATTAAGCGCCACAACTATACGCAGATCACGCGCACAACAGGAACTCGGAAGATGGAATCATTCCGAGTGGGACAGGGGAGCTAGGAGAGCAGAGAGAGGGTTTACAGAAGGTGTCATCTCAGGTGCAATGGTGCTTCTGATTCTTTCTCTCTGGAAGGATTTAGGAGTTATCTGCAATCTTCTACATTCCTCCCTATGTAAAATGCAAGGCAATGAACAATTTCCAGGACGACTACCTAATAAAAACACTGCTGCTTTTTGAGCCTTTACTCTTTGCTAAGTACAGTTCAAAGCACCTTACCACATTATCTTTATTTAACCGCTACACAAATACATAAGACACAAAACAGATGAAGACCCATCGGTGCCAAATGTGAGAAACGATAGGAAAAGCCTCCTTTCTCTGCACACTTTACAGTTCTCACTGCATCTCATTAAAGCATAAAACTACTTTTTTAAAATGCATTTTTTCCCTAAATTGAGCTTTTTCGTAGATAAGCCAGAAAGTTAAAGAAGCTGGAGAGAAAAGCAATAACCACGCAGTCTCAGGAGTGTCTCCTGGAGAGCCACAGGGAACTGAGTGCCATGCCAAGCCCACAATTAAACAAAAGCAAAAACAAAACCCATTGCTGTTGAGTTGATTGTGACTCATAACGACCCTACAGGACAGGGTAGAACTGCCCCAGCGGGTTTCCAAGGAGCAGCTGGTGGTTTTGAACTGCCAAACTCTCAGTTAGCAGCTGTAGCTCTTAACCACTACACCACCATGATTCCCACAGCTGTGCCTAA